TTCAAGGACTTTTTAAGACTGTGCGAACCCTGAAAGAATACTACTGAAACATGCCTGATTTACTTGAGCGATGGCAATGCGAGCCTGATTAGCGGAAACTATATACTGAATTGCTTTCTTTATTATTAAACAAATCACTTTCCCTCACTTTTGAATCACATTTGCGGGTAAATTGATTTTTCTACTTTTCTTATCACTTTGTCACAAAAGATACTACAGGAGGTATATTCTTTGGTTTACTTATTTATTCTCTTTATTCCCACCGTGCACCAAAAGTTGACCTTGAACGGGGTCTGGAAGGGTATTTTCGGGATCCGGGAGTTCACCAAAATACGGAGCAGGAATCGGGAAAAGGTGAGACATCTTAACGGGAAACGGGATTTTATAGCTACCACTGGAAGCGGGATTCGCAAAAATTTAAGCACGGAATGCTGAATTTCTTTTTTGCATGTATGTTGGGAATTCGGTAAATTATACGTTTGAAGGGCAAATGCGAATCAACTAGGCGTGCGTTGTGTTGTTTCCTTTCAAACTGAACTATAGTTAGTTTCTATTTTGTTTTATTCATCATTTTTGAAAACAAAAGAGGGATTCGTGAAAGCGGTGAAAAAAAAAATAGCGGGATGCGGGATTTTCGTGAAAAGGAGCGGGAATGAGGGATCAGGGGTTCGTGTCTCGAAAGACCCGGTAACTTTACGGGCCCGAAGGCAAATTATTTTCAAATTCAATTTCAGTTTATTTATCAAAACCTGTTGAATAGTAGTACAGTTCGTAGCTCATTTACTGGTCAATTTCGCTTCGTTAACTGTATCATTTTCAAAATTATTGAAACTTTGATCTTGAATGCAAACATGGGAAACATAAAACAGTTTTTCGGGCCCGAAAAGCTGAGGGACTTTCGAGAAACAGGCCCCAGGAAGTCTGTTATAGTATGTTGCACAGTTCCTGCCCGAAACAGCTTCGTTCCAGTAACCCGCCAAAAATAATGGAGCTATACTTCTACGACAAAAAAGGTGAAGAATAATAGCATTTTTTTCAAGCTAGAGAGAGCCCATTTGTAAAATAAATCCGTGTACGTTTAAAGTAGAAATAAATGTGTAGATTTAAAGCAGAAATACAAAGAAACTAAACAGAAAAATTGAGACCAATTTTGAGTCTTAAGATCAAATTTTCCTAGCCGCCAATTTGTGAATTCCCCCTTTGAAATTAACAAAGATTCCTCAACAACTTATAAAACAGAGTCCTGAAGTGCACTGTCTGCACACCTAACCAAAACCCCACCCAGTAACGTCCTAAACTCGTAAATTGCGGCACATATCACAGGTTAATACTAAAAAGGCAGCTTATCAAAGACTTAAAATTTAAATAATTTAAACAAATGGATATAGGGATGCTCGTAATAACGATGAGATGGCAACTTTTGTCCTGATTACGAGGGAGGCTATTGTTTAGATTACAGTTTTTGTCGGGTTGTATGCTGACGTCCGGTGGAAACCTAATAAAACGAGCACCTTTAAACCCAATAAAACGAACGATGCTCCTTACTCTGGTTATTAGTAAATTATACGAAAAAAGACCCCAATAAATCGCACCCCGTAATATAAAGGAATACAAGTTACCACTCCCTTACTTCGAGACATCAGTTCCACTGACCACGACCTCGTACTTTTAAAATCTCCCACGGTGACACATACGGGAGGGTATTTAATGGGTTCACTTCCAGGGAGCGTAGGACCCAGGAGGCCCCGAGCAAGATTAAGAGGTATTAAGCTATGGTGAATCAGGCGGGAAAGGCCGCGCAGCAGTCTAGCAACCGGTATACATTCTCTTCCTACTCAATCACCACTTTGCGAATATTTTTGAAGTAACTGAATTTTGGGTGCCACAGCTGACCCCTCGACAACTTCGTTCTTAGGATCTCCCTCTCCTTCCCCCGGGGGTTTGGACCCTCCGATGCATCTATCACTGGGAAAACAATTTCTAGTTCGAGCGGTCAGAAATTTGTATCAACAGATAGGGCCATTGATACCGGCAAAAGACCTTAGGGCTCGTAATTTAATTATATTCGCTGAAATTGAAGGCTTGTTTAACAGCCACTGATGTCTTTCTTTTTCTTGCGGTGCCATCTTGTCTCCTGCGGGTCAAAACCCCTTTGCGCATGCCCCATTAGAGCCCAATCAGGAGTCTTGGCCATGTAGTCTAAGGCAGTAAAACTCTCTGTTCCATTGCTTTCTTCATATTTCTGCATCTATTGGGAAAAGTTACAAACAAGTTAATTAAATGTAGAGCCATGAACCTCCAGTCATGTTCAATACTGCCGCACTGTTACGGACCGTTAAGAGCAGTTGACGGATCGTCACTCCTTACAAACCGTCAAAAGCTACCAAGAGCCCGTATTCTGAGCACATACGAAGCGTGTATCTCATTATTGTATCAATGAACAGCGTGTTATGATTCGTACGATCAGTTCGATCCGTACAGATGGTAACGGTCCGTATACTTGATTGATACGGATCGTAAATTCGTCGTTACGTAAATCGTAAAGCTAAACAAGCACTCTTCAAATCTACGGACCGTTACAGTGCAGGTGTATTGGACAACCTGGTGGGTGAGCCAATAGAGAATTTTTCACAGCTTTTGTAAAATAACTTTCAATGAAAGAAAGTTTGTTGGTTGCCTATGGCTTTATCGATTTATTTTTTCCGATAAGAAAACGTGATTTATCCCCCTTAATTCACCAAAGCGAATATTCAATCTACAAGATCTTTTGTTACTAGAGCAAAGAGAAGCCCTAGGTTCAAACCTCGATTATAACCAAGGGCCTGTTTACATGGAGGTGGGAGTCCCCAGGTAGGTGAGATAACCCGCTTAGGTGGGGTAACCCACCTGTCCATATCTCTTATTTTGATTGGATCACATTTACAGGATAGGTGGGGTGACTCGCTGCCGGTTACCTCACCTACCTGGGGTCCCCCATCTCTATGTAAACAGGCCCTAAGAACACTCGCTGGATAAATTCCATGACGACTATCACAAATCGCCTGATGAAGTACGCACTCAAAACGCCGCGATCACCAATTATCGTTTGAGATAAATGATAAACCAGCCATTATACACATACTACAATGAATGAGTTTCTTAACATGTTTAAAATAACAATATACATTGCAGGTTTAACAAATTCAAAATCAGTAAAAATTGAAAACCGAAAAAAGCTCGGACTTGTGCTCCGTTTGCGGTAAATTGGTTTTATGGACAAAAAATATTAAACTGCTTTTATAGCCAAAGGTTTGACATGAATGGTGCTCAATCAAATCAAAAGAGGAAGAAATACATAGAATGCCGAAACTCACCAACTGGTGAAATACTGGGTAGTCGATCCACGTATACCAGCCGTCATCTTTCTTGAACTGCAAATACAGTGAAATCCCTTGTAAGTACCTACAATTTTCCGGATCAAGATAACTAGCCCTCTTGTATATTTGAAGCAAGAGACAATAATCCTTTTTAGATTCCAAAATAAGTTGTCTGGTACTGCTTCTGAAATGCATTAAAACCCAGCAACTAAGAACCGACATTTTAAGAACCTGTTAGGCTAAAATTCGCCAGTTAAGCCCTCTCTATATAAGAATCTGTTAAGCCTAACATTTGAAACAGGTTCTTATTTCTAAAACTGATCTATGAAAAAATTCTGTACACTTGGGCAAAGAAGATAAGTCAATATTCAGAATCTTCTTTGGAGACAAAGGTGCCTCATCACTCCAACTGCAATGTAAGGTATGCAGGTTTTATTCGAGGAATAAGCTGAAACACTGAATACTCTTAGCTATACTGTCTTTTTTTTTCTTCAGAAAATAAGAACCTATTTAAGAATCTAAATAGGCTAAACTTGTGCTAACCACCATTTACATAAGAACCTGTTTAGGGTAACTTGGAAATATCCAGATTCTTAGTCGCGGGGTTTTACAAACGTACTTGTGGTGTAAGAGTAAGTAGACATCAGACATTAAAAGACTGGTACTCAAAGACTGGTACAGCTCATGATATTTTACATGAACACTTATGGCAGGGATGATGCAAATGTATTAAGTAGTTATCAGGCATTAAAAGACTTAGAGAAATCATGGAGAAATTTACAATAGCAAAAAACAAGAAGCTTCCTTGGAAACAAACATGTGCAAGCACATCGTGAAAGAGAACAAAAAGAGAAGATAAGAGAGAAAGGAATGTTCTAGCCTTGAACAAAGTTAAATCGTACCTTTTTATGAGCAATGAGGAGGCAATTGGAATGTTCGTGTTCACAAGCGATCTCGTAATCAGGCAGCAAGTCAGCGAGCTGCTGAACGAAGCCGATAACCTGAGGAATATAATCCAAAGAAATACAGTTTTATTTGATAAAGTTTGTTTGCAACAAACGTTCTAGCACTTTCTGGTGCTAAGTTGGTTTGCAGAATTTTTTTACTTGTCACTTATTCAATGTTATCCACACAGAAAACTACAAAGGAACCGTAATCCTTTCCCTTCTAGACTGATTAATGGTCAGATTATTTGTCATTCCAACTTTTGCATGCATCTGCGGACAAAATCCCGAATGGTGTACCTATTCAAATATTATTTTTTACTTTGGCTCTTATCAGCATAGCGTGCGAATACAGACGAGAGAAGCAACGACCAGAAATACGTCTGCGTTCGCAGGCTATTATTAGCAGTGAAAGGATTCACTAAGGGCGCTTTCCATTTGTCAGGACTGGCTGGCCGGACCATTGCCCGACCAGTCAATTTGAAGATAAAATAGGCTTTTTTCAAGAGCTTTTGCTAAAAACCATCTCTTTCCATACTATTCAGGATTTGACTGATCTGGCTGGAGAGTTTTGATTAAAAGGGAAATTATCATTGCGACGAGAATGGTCTGACCGGTCACTTCTGACAAATGGAAGGCGCCCTAAGAGTAGGGAAAAGGGCATCAAGTCATTGTTATGAACTAATTTTACCTAAGATTTCTTATTCAGTCCCTACAAATACCTCTTCATGCCACGGTACATTCTCCATTGTTAGAGTTGACGCTTTAGACTCCCCACAGTACGTTACACCCTGAAACGAGAAAGAGCTGTTTAGCTAACGTCTACGACAGGTTTACATATGGAACATTAAGTTAAGTTTCTCGGGCGGATATGAAAAGTTTACACTGGTATGGCACCGTGTACAAGCAGTCAATTAGTGAGCTTAAAAAAAGACGTTTTTGGACCACGCACGTCAACCGGAAGTAAGGCCTTTTCTCTTTTAACATACCTTGACGCTACCAAATGTGTCTTGCTATGTATTCTTACCTTTACTGAGACGAATTGCCAGAAAATTTGGGAAAAATTGCTGCCCAGTAACGCAAAACGACCACTTCCGGTTGACGCGCGTCACTCAAAAACGACCTTGCTTAAGTTCCCTATTAATGATGACGACACTTAATAGGGCAAATACCGTAAACTGCCGCTTAAACGCCCTGGGCTTACACATCTTCGAAAGGGGTTTTAGCAGGGCATATAAACCGAGGGGCTTTTATCCTAGGGGATTTATAACCGGAATAGGAAAAGCGCTTCGAAACACGCTAAAGCAGTGCTGATTAAAATATGTTTTACATGTACTGGTGTCAGTCCAATTATGATCTCTTGCTGGTGTTTAATTAAGCTTCAAACCGTCATATTAAATCGAACTGTCTGTCCTCTTCCTCTTAGTCCCTAGGATATTTACGGGTGGGAAAATTATAAATTAGTTATAGTGTTGAATTTTTTTAAAAAAATTGTTGTTGTCGTCGTCGTTGTTGTTGTAATTCATTTCAATACATTAGGAGAGGAGGGGGCTCATTTAATCTGATGTATTTTTTCTTTACAGTTAGATCGGCTTATAAACGGGGGAGCGTATGAGCGACAGTTTACGGTACTCTTTTGTTTTACTTCCTGCGGCATAAGTTGCCAATTTTCGGCGCGTTCCAGTTGTGTATATTCTCTACGCTATACGTAAAATGTGCTCGTACTAAGTTACCTTTACTTCAATAAAGTCGGGCTGACCAACAGATACCAAGTCAGCATAGTTTTGGAGTTCTTCGCTGTTCCACGATTTCACCAAAGTCAGGCGATATACAGTTCTCTGACCCTAAAAAGAAAATATTTTAGTAAACAGTTACCTTGTAGGCCATGTAGGCCTTTAGAGTGGCTGGCATCGAATGCGTCCTGTATTAACAACAACGACAACAACATTTTTCATATACTGTATGTATAACACGGAAATACAAGGCAAAAAAACCGAATCAATTAAGGTTTCTGAGAAACTGCCCACCTACCCCTCCCCTAAGCCAACATTATCACTTAGTTCTCACTTAGGGCAAAATGTTGGCTTGGGGGGGGGGGGGGGGACGGGGGGGGTTTTCCAAAAAAAACTAAGGCGGGGAAGTTTGGGGGGGGGGGGTAACAACAACAGGCCCGGGGGCTGTCTTTGGTAAAAAGGATTTTTTATATAATGTGAATGGGAAATTTTCTTTTTTTTGTACTTCCCAAAAAAAAAAGCAAAAAAACCCAAACAAATAAAGGTTTTGCGAAACTGCCCCCCCACCCCTCCCCGAAGCCAACCTTTTTCCGTTGTTTCCCCATAGGGGCAAATGGTGGGGTGGGGGGGGGGGGGGGTACGTGGGCAGTTTTCCAAAAAAACCTAAGCCGAGACAGTTTGGTGAGGAGCGATCACATCAACAGGCTCGAGGACTTGCTTCGTAAAAAAGGATTTTGTACTAAAGTTGATACGGAATATTCCTGTTCTTTAGCATGCCACGTCATGTAGCAATACTGGACCAGGTTGTTAAAAGCTGGGTTAAGATATTGTAACCTTAGTGCAAAATTTGAAAACAGATATGAAAGGTTAAAAAGTAAATTTAGTTTATAAAATTCTTTTTGTCTACAATTTAATGACTGGATGCTCTAAAAAGAATAGAGATATAGTAGTTATCCGAGACAATCCTTTTGAGCAAAAGCAAAAGAATAGCAAAAGAAAATTTAACCGCGAGTTAGCGCTAATCTGCCTTCGAACAACTACCTGGGCCCTGGCCATTTTGAGGCTACGCGACGGGGCCGGTCCTGTGTCGAAATGCATTATGAGACCGTTTTGAGGGACGAATTTTAAAAATAGTGATAGTCGCAATAGCCAATGAAAGAAGCGCAAGCGTCCCTAAGAGCGTCCCACTGGACACAGCACCGCTAACCCAGTCTTACGCGCAACTTTATTATGAGCAGTATCAAACCTTTTCTGATAAAGCCTTGAGACTATCCAAAAACCGAGGCCAGAAATCCCTGAAGAGAGGACGGTCAATTTTCTTTAGACTTTCTTTTGTGCTGGCGTCCACGCTCACGTACAACTGGGTTACTGGAATGAGATTTCTGAAGGAAAAAACGGTTTATTGTAAACGTTCACGTTTTATTGTAAACATGAAGCACTGTAAGGAGAGCCAAGGTAAAGATAAGGCGCTGGTACGCAAGACCCACACGATCCACTACGGCCGGAGGTTCCCCGTTCAGATTGAGCTTAAGCAAAGACGTTTTTGAGCGACACCGTCAGCCGAATGTGGACTTTTTTGCATTATTAATTTTCGCCCAAATTTTCGGGCAGATGGTCCTTATGAGAGTAGGGACGCTCAGCAATACAAATCTGGTAGCGTCAAGGCATATTAGAAGAGAAAAGGTTTCACATTCGGTTGGCGTGCGCCGCTCAAAAACACCTTTGCTTAAACACCTGCATGACTAGCTCAGTCGGTAGCTTGAGAAAACAGCCGACATTTGGCGACGCTACCACTGGTTTTCCCGCCAAATGACGTCTGAGAAACGAGGGCATGAATTCCATACTGATGACGCGTCACTACCCAGATCTGGGTAGTGCTTCTGATTGGTCGTGCCGCGTGGGAAATTTGATTCAACCAATCCAAAGCACTACCCAGATCTAGGTAGTGACGCGTCATCAGTGTGGAATTTCTGCGCTCGTTCCTCAGACGTCATTTCGCGGGGAAACAAGTGGTGGCGTCGCGAAATGTGGGCTGTTTTCTCAGGCTAGCTCAGTCGGAAAAGCGGGAAATAACGGGTTCGATCTCCTTGCACGGACCAACACCTAGGATTTTAAATTAACTAAGAAATGAGGGTCCTCCTTTGCCTTGCAAACGGCACTTTCCATGACTACATCCATACTGAATGGGAAGCAGTATTTTGCTCTCTGAAAGTGTGATTTTGTGATGTTCAGTAACAATCTTTACTTTGTTATGATTTTATCAATACGGACATTCAGAAATAAACAGAATTAACTTAAGTACAGGCGATTACAAGAAGTCGCTTATTTCCCCCAGAAATAGTACAGCAAGCAAAACACGCGAGCGTGCAAAGCGCGCGCAAAATCGCCTCCCAGAAGGAAAGGCGACATGCAAGAAAAATGATAAATAAACGCAAAAGGAGAATTTAAAAATAATATTACAACAAACTACCGACCACCCACCTTATAGCATCAGGAAACTGTGCATTTGTGACGAGAAAAGAAGAAATTTCATGTCCGTGAAGAATTCTGACAAGCTCGTTTATTCTTGGATACATTATAGGTTCACCTTTGAAACAAAACAACTGTTAAAACAGTTATTTGGGTAATCCGTATAGTTATCACATACCTGGCTTAGGCACTCTAAACGTTAGAATGCCGCTTATCATTGGATAATGCGGCATTATCAGAGATTTGATTGGCTTAGAAGTCGTGGTAATTGAGCTGCTATTCTAAAATCATAAAAGGCACCCAACAAATTATCTTCTGTTCGCTCTTAAGAAATGAAGTAAGATTATAGCCAACGAGGCGCAAATCATATATGCAGTAGGACCCCGATAACTATAACTCGGATAACTCGAACTCCCCGCTAACTCGAACCAAGTCCCATTTCCCTTAAATTTCACCCCGCTTATCAGTCATTTTTACTCAGTTAACTCGGACTCTGATAACTAGAATTCCCCGCTAACTCAAAATAAATTTCCTTTCCCGTCATCAAAAATTCACAGAAATTTACCACGATAACTCGAATCTCCACTCGGATGTCATCCCATAGCTAGACTACGAGTAGTCCCCATTTTCCTCAGGGATATTACAGGGAGCCAAACGCAAGCGCGCGTGAAAATCACCCTACGCGAAAAAGGCGAGAAGCAGAACTGGACCGTTGCGCCCCAACTGAGCATGTGTTACTCAGCTTTAGATAAAGGAAAGCGTCTGCAAGTCGTCCATTTTTTTTAAGTCAATACATAGCTTCTTTTAATCTTATACATGTAAACGCAGCTGAAATTCACCTTAAGTACTAATTTAATAGACGCTGAAGTGTTTTAAAAATACACGTACTTTTTTGGCGTCTCAAAGAAGCAGAACTTACTCTTCTAATTCAATATCTTAAATGCTTCCTCTAGCATGCAGTTCTCTTTCTTTTCCTCTGACAAACGTACTTGCAAAAGTCCCTTCTCACAGGAAAACCAATTTAGTATTACAACAAAATGTTTCTTACCCACAAGTGAGAGTGCACAATGTTTTATCTTCATTCCTTCTTCAAATCGTTCGGGTTTAACGCCAGGAACTCCTGAAAATGGTACAAATAAAACATTATTGTTCTATGGGCGTGTGCTCAAAGGATCTGTTTTTGTATTCATTGAGTGAATATATTTTATGAGTACCGAAATATTTCTTTTTTTAGCAGGGCACGGATTAGAAAATTGGCAGCTATGATTCTCTTGTCCGCAGGAATCACCTCCTTTGCCATTAAATTACATGTATCATTCGACTGAAACTGAGTTGCCGTTGAGAGAGCTGACTCTAAGGACATTAAGAAGCACTTGTGTAGATGGTCAGGACGTAAATGGAATAAAACTTAAATTTTCAGCTTCCCACGAACATTCTTAGCGCTTCATCACGCATTCCTTCCCCGTGAACGTCCGTTTATGGGGAGGATCAACCTCGTTCCCACGGTTCTTTCCTATTCGTCTTTGGCAAAGAGAGATAGGACTGCGTGACGAGTCAAAAGTACTCTGCGTGGGAGGCCGTTAAATGTTGGCCAAACAGTTCTAACCTTTTGTACTGGAGGATGATTCAATAGCTAGTGAAAAAGGTGTTAGCTTTCTTTCCGTAAGAACGTCGGGTATGTATGAATAAATTAATATAGAGATTAAACATTACCTTTACGTCAAACCGCAAACGTGAATTTGTACCACGTGACCAAGTTTTCCATCTACTCGTCGTTTACTGTTCATTATAACTACACGAAAATCGGTGGATTCACGCCAATTTTATCCATAAGAGTTGTTTTAAGCTGTTTTTATCCGCTTATTACTCATTTTGAAAATTTCTCAACTTGAATCTCATCTTTGCCGTTTGCCCTAAATGCGATGCTTAATCTCCCTAATAGCACACATCGTCATCCTTTTTAAGACGGAAGTCATTAAGGGGGTAGTTACGACAGTGTCTGTCCACTACAATAAAGACCTTTAGATTCTATGACAAGGACGACTACGAGGACGAGATTTTCTCAATACTACGTAGTGCGCGCGCGTGAACCAGCGTTATTTTGGCGGGAAAACATGATAGACATCGTCATTCTACTACGGGTTTAGGAAAATGTCGTAATGGTGGAAACAAGTTATCAAATGTTACTAGTTTTATCATATTGTGCTCGGGTGAGGGCTTAAACTCCTTCCATAAAAATAAACGTGCTGACTTTTCTGGTGAAAGAAGTACAATGAAGCTTTCCGGGGTGTCTATAATTGTAAAATACGAGAATCGTGGTCGTCCTTGTCCTCGCATCTACAGGTCTATATTCATTACAAGGCAGACACCACGGTTACTGTAATGTCCATTCACAACCTGTGAACAAGCTGACTCTTGTGAACTACAAAACGTCGAGAAAGCTAGAAAGCGCGAGCGTCCTTCACCTTACTTCGCCAGGAGCCTATTCACTAGCCTGCGTAGCAGACATGATCTAACCCTGGTTAGTAACGTCTGTGAAGCAATGCTAGCCTGTACACAGACGTTGTTTTATTTTTCTTTTCGTTCTGTTCGAAAACATCGGCGAGCTCGAGAGCGAAGCGATTGCGCGAGAACCAGCGCGGAGCGCGAGATAGAAAAATTTTCTTTTTCACCCACCCCTACCCCCTTGCACTGGCGGTCGATAAATCCCTTCCGGTTTACATCTTATCACCCGCGCTCGACGGACTTTAAAGAGAAAATAGAGGATCTGTGAACACGCTAAAGTAATGCCGATATAATGTTCCTTGTCCCCAACAGACTCAAAGAATTATCGGAAATGCGTTTCGAATATCTCTCCAACCTGATTGGCAAATCGATAGTGGCGTTTTTAACAGGCTCATTATGACGCGTACTCAAATCGAGGTACACAGTCGGGGCCCCAGAACAAGGATTTCAGCGCCGTTTCGCGGACGGACTTAATCAAACGTTTACTTCCGTTTGTGGCGCAGATACCTGTTCACAGGTTAGTCAATTTACAGTATGGCTTCAAATCAAGATAGCTCATTATTTAAACATTGACGAGGGCCCTTTGTACCTCTGAACTGTTTAATCATGTTACGGTGATTGTCCATGGCGCCATTAACAATTGTATCTGGATCATCCATCTTCCATTTCCACTCTGTTCCAACAGGGTTGGTGTGATGTCTGTAAAACAGTTGGAGAGCAAACAATAAAATTTCTCTTAACAGCAAAATAATAATAAAAGTAAAAGTCCAAGGCGTAGTCTCCCACGCAGCTGTTGTTGCCTCGTCACGCAACGTTAAGGGAGACTATTCAAACGTCTAAATAAAATAACAAATAAATAAATAACGATTTGGAGATAGCACATCCACAAAGTGGTTCTTCGTCTACAGGTGTCTACCTGATTCCTGGTCGAATTGGAATTTAGAAATGTGGGTTTTTTGAGGAGAGGGGAAAACCGGAGTACCCGGAGAAAAACCTCCCGGAGCAAAGGAGAGAACAAACAACAAACTCAACCAACGTATGGCGTTGACGCCGGAATTTGAGCCCGGGCCACTTTGGTGGGAGGCGAGTGCTCTCACCACTGTGCCACCATTGTTCCCTGTCTAAAACTTTTATCGAGGGTCTGGCTGCTGTCCGAAAGCTCCCTTTCTACAACCTCACTTACAGCCACCTAAGCCAATACGCGCACACATACCTCCAGCAAAAAACACATTTATTTGCACAAGCCAAGCTTGGCGTGGTCTCCATACATCGATGACTTTCAATACCATAAAAGGTATGTTTGTAGCAGCCACCACGACCTCTCAACATAGACTGCAAACACAAAAGATGCGTCAGTTACGTACGATTCTCTCATCCTCTGTATACAAATGATACAAAATAGCTTGTATTTAGGTTTTAATAAAATGGAAATTCCGTAATACACTGTGGCCCATAGAGGGTGTCCCCATTCAAATTTTAAAGGTGGTTACATGAAATCTAGGTAAGTCTACCTCGGGCCAATGCCGCCAGTGGTTTTACCCCAACCTCGTTCCCAGGTTTCTTTCATACTTGTCCCTGTGTCACATTCTCATTCCACAAGGAACAAGTAGGAGAGAACACTGGAAACAAAGTCTGTTTTAGCCATCCATGCACTAGACTGTGGGGTGTCCCACAAGTTGGCAGGGCTCATTTACATTGTGCCACGGCTCAGACCTGTGCATCTGCGTCTAAAACTTTGCAGGTTGTTTTAGCCCCAACCTTCTCCATTCTAATGCCCAATCAGTTGAAGATGAGTTTAAATCAAACGGGACCTCACCTTTGTCCACCTACAAAGCTTAACTCCAGAGTGAGTTCCAATCAAACGATACCCTGGGAAGGACAAAATGAAAAAGACTTTTAGAAATCAAAGAGTGCTTTTCGATTACTAGAACTGGCCAGCCAGACCAGTCAATTGTAAAGGGAATTCCACTATTAACTAGTTATAGTTGTCACTAAATCTGCCCCCAACCTTTTAAAACCCGAATGAAGACTCCTTGTGGTTGTCCATGTATTTGCCATGAACCTTTGAAATGCAGTTTTCGTATTAGAGTTTCTGAGTGTAATTCTTTTGTTCTCTTTTGTGTTTTCTCAATTATTACACTTTGTTTCCTGGGTTAATGAAAATCCTCATACATGACATGCCTGGGATGGACAATTGTTTTTTATACATCTCGTGGAGCCACTTGTTGTGATTGTGTCCGACACAATTCGACGAATGCGACTTGTTGACAAACCCAGTTTGCGCGGTTGCTGAGCCAGGCGCACATGCTGAAAATTAACCGGGACCGTCGTGCGTGCCTAGTTTCATCAAATCGGGAAAGCTTCGCATACTAACAGTAAGACGGTACGATACTTCTTCTTTACGCCGGGGACATTAGGGTGCCTCCTCGGGTTCCGGCCTCTGGGCCCGAACCCTGCAGGGGCAATAAGGACTGTGTACGTAGATCAGTTTATTCCTAAATGGTGTGTTCGGCAGTGGTGGGTTTTAGGAAAAATCTGGTGAAAATGACTGGTCTGGCCTGCCAGTTCAGACTTTTGGTAAACGCCCTCAGAGTCTCAACCTTGGAAAAATATCAGTTTAACAGTGGTTTTCCCTTTGACTAATGCATATATGTTTACCATTTTTAATGTGAAACTACTTAAATATTTTAACTCTTACCACTGGAAGTACTTCTAGAATTTTATTGTGTTGCCAGGGGTTAATACCTCAGATCTGTAAGTCAGGTTTCAGGTATCCCAGTCGTGTTGTTTCCTTAGACAAGAAACTTTATTTGCTACACTTTGTCTGTCTAAACCCAAGGGTGGGTATTCAAAGCTGGGTAACAATAATACGGGTTTGTTGCATGAAATTTGAATTCAGATCTGAATGCGTACAGAGCAAATTCCTGTACATAATTTTAGCTTTCAATTTGATGTTTGAATACTTTAAAAGAACCAGCTAAACTCAGAACAGAAACTGCTTTTGAACCAAAGAGAAAGAGGCTTAGACAAGACATTATTCCTGGGGTTCAGGAATTTCATGGTTTTTCCTAGTTCAAACTGTAATGATGAAGTTTCAAAAATATACCTTGCTTTGTTAAAGCCTTTTCCAATGCTGGAGTAATCATCTCTTTAGGTTCTACACGTTTCTTTTTACCTTAAAAATAAAAATATTAAACACAAAATGCTGCATTTTAAATTAATTTTATATTATTAAGTTCAGAAATTAATCATTACCTGTAAAGTACTGTGTCGCTAATAGTAGTGTACAGGTGTAACTGTTTTGTCTAAACCTAAACTTCACCTGTGCCAGATCATCCTGCTGGCAGAGCCGTTGTTTCCCTTGCTCAAGTTTGGCATACTCAAGAAACTAGACTGTGCATGGATTGAGTAAGATCTTTGCTGAGCATCTGCAGCATGTTGCTAGGATACAGTATCCAGCTCAACCTTAACTTTTTAAGCCCCGATATCCACTGACAAATTCTCCAAACTGATCTCCATACATTTCCTTAAAGAATTAGTAGGGAGAATTTGATAAAAGATCAAAGCGTTTTCACTGAGGTGATCATTTTGGTAAACCTCCTGACCTTTTCTTTTGATAATGTATTGATATTGTGAAGAGAAATTTATATTGGTCACTCCTGGGACTTAAAGGATTAATAGCCACATGCTCGGTACAGCAGGCTGGGTTATGACCATCAGTTTATCAATAAACAGACGCTCACACTCTGAATACCAGTTTGACAGAAAGAAAACAAGATTGACTAGTCCAAAAGTTTGAGATTCAGCAATTTCAAAGGCTTGACAGCAATTTAGGCAGAGCTTCCTTTTCTGCTCCTCGCTCAAGAGGATAAAAAGAAGCTTCACTCACAGGGTATGCCAGGATGGGCGGATTGTTGTACTGAGAAGTGGGTGATTGAAAAGATACTCTCTGCAATATCTTAAAATGCCAGGATTTTTTTAGTTTAGCCTTCATCAGGGCCACATGTCAGACTACATGTATACTGAAGTGAAGACTGTCTGTAAGGCAGGCTTAAAGAAAAAGTTTTAACGGTATTGTAAAAAATGACAAATTTAGAAGTACATGTACTGCAAGTCTGCCAAAAATGAGCAAAGAAAATGTCCTTGAACTAACAAAAGGAAATCATAGGAAGTAACACGCGGTACTGTGGTTTGGATATAACCTTAACCCCTATTTGGATTTTAACAAACACCCTAAAGAGTATTTAAATCAGCCATCTGAACACCTTGACCAGTTTTGTTTTTTTACCCATCTCTTGTAACTTTGGATTACCGTACACGAATGTTTGAAGAGGGTAAGTGTGCAAGTGGCAAGCAGTTGCGTTTCATCTCCTGCATAAGCTTCGCAAAAGTGATATCTTTGATTAAGAAAGTGCAAAGCCTTTCTTCTCTGTGCTTCACCTTCACCTGATAAGCCACCATACCGTTTACTCAAAACACCCTCTCAGTCTCTCAGCTGATCAACTTGTCATTTCGCTGCCTTGTTACAAGATTTTTCCACTGTGATAGGCCACTTGCCAGACATCAAACATTCCAACTTGTCAAAAATATGTCAAAAATCTTGTTTGGTGTTCACAGTAGGACGCGCAACACAGTTAGGGTCAAAGTTACAAGATATTTAGTCACAACTGCATAGCTGGAAAAAGATTTTCTCCGCTGTGACTGGCCACTTGCCAGACATCAAACATTCCAACTTGTCAAAAATATGTCAAAAATCTTGTCTGGTGTTCACAGTAGCAAACGCAATACAGTTAGGGTGAAAGTTACAAGATATTTAGTCACAACTGCATAGCTGGAAATAAACGCTTTGCTTCTTTAAATGCATAATGATCATACCTATACTTCTCTTTGGTCCCTTCAGCTTTGTAGCTTCTTTTTCTTCCTACAAAAAAAAGATGAATTAGAGTTGATCTACCATTTTTACACAAAGAACTAATATACATTGTAAGCTGCCACTCTCTGATCATAGCATTTTTTAAGTAAAGTTAACACTGTACCGTTGTAAGGCTTTACACAGGTACATCACAGTCCAGTGATATGTTACCTTAGTTTTTCTCATTTTATTCATCATAGGTCCTAAATCTTCCATGTCTAGCAAGCCTTCCTCACTTTCTTGCTCACCATCTTCATCTGCAGATTCTTCACTGGTACTCTCATACAAAACCTTGAAATATACGTAAAGGCGAAGGGAACTGCTTCGTCATGCATTCAAAATAATACATTGTTAAAACAACATAGCAATTCGAGGGCACTCGTCGGTAGAGAACTATTGTCTATGATAGTGTACACCTCCCCCACTCCCCCCACCCCCCGCCCTCAAGCAGTATGTCATTGGATCCCATAACAAACACCTGGGAGAGAAATAATGTGTGACAGAGATTCCTGTCCAAGTTAAGGAAGCACTGGAGAGTGAAACAGTTGAATGAATTTCTTCAACCATGTCAATAAAAAAAACTCCTTTTCTTTAGACTGACCCCATTAATATGGTTTGACGTGTGTCTGCAATATGTACATCGGGTGGCTTGAACTGACATTATATGTATATGTACATGGAAAGTGGGTATCTGATACACTGTGTCAATGTTTTAACATTGATTGCTATTTTTATGACTAAACCCACAATGCTGACGTGATCACCATAAGTGCATCTATCTGTATGAGTACCTCATCATTAATATTGTTACCAGTGGTAATCATTACATGTATGTCGAAGGCGATTGTCCTAAAAATATTGATCCAACCACCCCACCTGATCCTGTTGGGTCCTGCACTCCTCATCAGCCCTGTCTTGCTTCTGATGGCACGTTTTGTTAGCTGATTCAGAATCAGTAGAACAATGACAACTGCCTTGACTTGAACCCTCTTTACTTTCTTTGAAGTGTGACAGGAACTTTGAACTCCAAAATTTAAAATCATTCTCTGTACCTGAAATGAAACATTATAAAATGGAGTCAATGCAGAATAAGGTCACCTTAATGTAATAATTTTAGATACCAAAAGGACCAAAAATTTTACCATTCACATTATAGTAACAGGGCTGGACTCAAAATGTCTGCTGGTCAGCAAGTACAGATATCTTTAGGAGTGTTACATACAACTGTATTATTATAGCTTACAAAAGGGAGGAAAGGAATTTCACTGAGTACTTTTGCCAAGTAATGCTTAGTACAGTACCTCCATGTTTGCTATTTGCTACATTCTCATCTCCTACTCCAAAAGGAAACACTCTTTTGGCGTTGAGCAGTTCAAGCCACTTATCTAAATTCCTTCCAACCTACAGGGTGTATGAAACATACCATGTTCATTGTCAATATAGATGATACCAGCATTGCATGTATGAATGCATCACATATCAGCCACTGATCATGAGTGACAGAATAAAATGAATCTTACTCTAGGTAAGCTCATAAAAGTTTTCAACTACAGTGGAATCTCGATATAACGAACCTCTATATAATGAACCTCTATCTAATGAAAACCTCAGTATAACGAACGATTTTCTTTACCCCAGTAATAGTAAAATGTATGAAAAAACACCTTGATATAACGAAACCTCCATAATATGGCAAACAAAAAAAGTTTGCCAGTCCCTTGGCCCTTGGTTAAATCCAGGTTCCACTGTAGTTCCTTTAGGGCTGCAAGTCCATTTCCATTAATTTTTATGTTGTCCCCAGCAATTTGGGTGAGACGGCTGACAATCCATGCAATCTTCAGCCGTGATATGCATGTAAGTTGAAAGTCTTGACTCAATATTATTAATCTTTGAAACTTATTCTTGAAAAAGGCTTGAAGCATGAAATACAGTAATTGAATTTCAAGATGTGAAAATTCAGTCTTGAGACTCAAGTTTCACATTTGAGTTTCAAGAAACCTGGATTTTTGAATTTAAAGAAACCAAATTATTTCTCAAATTATTTCACCAGAGTATACACCCAGTATAGGTGTATATACACATGTACAAAAACTGTAATACCAAACCTGTGCACACTTTATACAATGCATCCTCATTAACAGTCTAAACATTATCAGCATTGAGGGATAGACAACTCTTACTGTTGGGTAACTTCTGCTGTGCATCCCAGTATTAACGTAAGTTAAGGTAAAGGCACACACAAGTCAAAGGCCCAAACAGCTAGAGCTTATCCTGGTTTCCTTAGCATGAAGCATGCCTAGAAGTATTGCCACTCCCTCCTGGACAGGATGCTAGTCCATTGCAGGATCAAACCCCAGCAGTATGTCACCAGTTCCCATTTATACACCTGGGCGAAGAGAGACAAAGTGGACTTAAGTTCCTTGTCTAAGGAAACAAGGCGACTGGAAAGGCTTGAACCCCCGACTTCTAGATCTGGAGTTCGAGATGTTAACTGCTCAGCCACACTCACCTCCACATGTCCCAATATTACAGGTCTTAGAAAAGAATATCCAGTTTCCAAGGGTAACATAAAAGATAAGCTCACAGGCACCCACCCTATTAAAGTTATCATCATAGAGAGAATTTCCAAGGCCAAACACTGCATATTCCAAATCCTGAAGCAATGATTTTTGCACACGGAAATCATTAGAAGCTTCCTCTAACCACTTGTAGAACCACTGTGCACTCTCTGGTGGATTACCATCCACATATGTGCTTATGATAAACACACATGTGTTCACCTGTAGATTTCAAATCATGTATAAATTCTCTTTATAAGCTTCTATTAAGATTTTCATGTATTTGTCTTTATAGCAGATCTAATAAAATAGCAATTTGCAAACTTTGATTTGACCAGTGAATTAGACATCATAGATTTGTAGTTTGTTTTTGCCTCTAGCATGTGACATGATGAACAGTTCCTTCAAGCTGTGTTCTTTACCAAACTATACATTTACTACATTTTTTACATTTCTCCACACAGGACACTATCAACATACAACTGTCCCACCAGAATGTACAAGTAATAATAAACGCACTGAGAGTTTAGACCTTCATGAAGTTCAGTGGTTAGAGATTCTGACTGTTGTCTAGATGATCAGTACACTGTCAATCAGTAACAATATTTCTTTGGTTTGATTTTTTTTCGTTTCTGTCATAATGATCATTACTCAGGGTTCTCCAGAAGCTCCGGCCATTGTAGTCAAATCTCAAGGCCACTATTGCAAAGAACTATCACGGCAAGGACTGAGCTGTCTGACATGTACATGTAGATCAAACATCATCTATCACTTTTGGTCACAGCTTTGAAGATAACTGCTGTGAGAATGACACAATCTTTACCTCCTCCGAAAGACTATCCTCTGGTTCATAGTTCTTTAAATCCACAACTTCACTTTTTAGCCCCAACTTCTTCACCTCAGAATGTAGACCTTGTGCTAGGTGCTACAAAAAGAAAATACATTGCACTATTATGATAAATTAAACAACGTTACTATAAATCATTTTTGAAGATCCTCATCCACATGTCAAAATAAATTGATATTGATTTTTCACATCTGACAAAATTGCCCCTTTTTTAATATGTACAAGGCACAGTTGGGCAGTGCCCTTTGTAAAATAATCTGAAAACAGAAGCACCTGACTTTGATTTTCTCTAAAACAAAGTGCAACATGTTCACCCATCTGCTGCTTTCAACACCTCACCATCGCGAACAGTCCAGGAAGTTTTAGGTAGGTTGGCATCTGGGTGTCCTACATTTGCATGGGTTCCCAGTTTTCAAATAAAGAAAGTTATCTTTTTGACATCTTCGTTCTATAACTGCTGGCAGGAGGGTTGAGGTAGAAGTCCTCACAAAATTGCCTGGCTAAAATTTAGTCCTCAGTCCCTACATGTATAAGCAGTAATTATATCACAGGTGGATGATCTGTAGACTGCCTTGTGACTGTTAATTGTCAACTGAGATGGCCCTCCTTAATGTACATGTACCTTAAGTTTGAAACTCCTACCTCTGTGAACCCACTTCAGAGACAGAGAAGTTTAACTAAAGAATTGGGAAATTATGGTGAAATCTTACACCTTTGCCTTTCCTGTCTGTGTTCCAAAGAAGATTTTTAATCCTTCAGATCTTGATGCTTGTCTAGTCTTTTCAATCCTGGATTGTGGCAGTGATGAAGACTCCTTAATGGCTGCTCTACTTTCCTATTGAAATCATACCAATCATTGACTATTTATAACAAGTAGGCCTTTCAGTTTCCTTATACCCAAATAAACAAAAACACTCTTGAAAGACTAAAGATGCCCCTCTGTAAAATCTGTACATGACAGTAAAAGAATATTCATTATAAGTAAATTGCAAAACATTATTACTATACAGGCAATGTTTTAGAGGAGTGGAAAGAGAGTCAAAGAATTGCATGCTGGGTTTACGGGTAATTTTTATTAATCTTAACCAGTCAAGAAAAAAATGAAGTTTAGCCTATACAATTAAAATATGTCTATAGCTGTACGTGTAAGACATAGTGTACAGTAATAGGACTGAGTGGAGTCCAGTTCGGTCTGTAATCATACGAGTGATTAACAAAATCAGATGACAATTAGCGGGAGTCTGATTTGTTTTATCACGAGTATGATTACAGACCGAATTCAACAACAGGAAATTCTGTTACCAATTCATGCTTCTGTTATCAACTAGTACTGAAATCAGGACAGTTGAATAGCCAATCGGATTTGAGAATGCTGTTAGAGTTATGATTAACGACAAAACCTTTTAACTACTATGTTTGCATTATTAAGCTCAACGTGGTGGTCAATGTTAGTTTTACAACTTCTTAACTTGCTTGCTTTTCCCTTCCAGCAGATGGATGGTAAAGTCTACAGCAGGAAAACTCACTTTTGAATTTGTTTTGTTTTTGTTGTTATTTTTTAAAACCAAACTACTTTTAATGACAGTGAAATCCTTACTTCTGAGCCTGCAGGGTTGTTTCTTTCTCTTAATTTAACCAACACCTGAGAGAACAAGATTCCACCAACAATGAGACTTGCCCAAAACCCTCTTACAGACATCCACCATTCTATCAGTCGGTCCTGCCAGGTTGGTTTTCTATCATGCCTTAGAGGTTGCCCTGAAAAAAAAAAAACACTACATGTACAGTAATTCCCCTCAAAAGGAAAATGTTTAAAAAACGCTCACTTGTGGAATAGCTGTTAATTATACATTTACCTTCCTGATATAGAGGGTCTACAGTATATCCAAAACAGCAGTTCAGTAAAGTTAACAGATTATTTTAGTTATTCTTTGTAAACAGATTGAGAAGCCACATTGTAATGTTCCAAATACATCAGTCCATCGTTTAATGAAGGCTTGCTTCAAATGTTGAAATGTCAGCTTTTCATTTTTTACACTGGTAAATTGACTTGACTGAACCCTTCAGTATTTCAACACAATTTAATGTTACACGTAAAGACGATATATGAGTATTTAGGACTTTGCGAGGCTGGGACAGGATAACAAGCATTGATTACAACATTTTGGAATTCTCAAGAGAATTTTTCAAGTTTGACAAAGTAAGAAAGCTATATGACATTTTATTTTTCGCAATGAGACGCACGTGGGAGTAACTGCAGAATAGCCTGCCACTTCAAAGCTGTATCCCTGATAGAGCTGGATACGTGGATACGCAGTTATCCCTTCTATGCGCTTTTCTACCTCCGATTTTTACACAAATTAAAACTGAAGTGAATTAAAATTTGGGCATACGCATACGTAGTGACTGAGTATCCGCATATCGCGTATCCACCTGTTTTAGGGGTTGCTTTAAAGTGGCAGGGTATTCTGCAGTTAAGCCTACATATGAAATAGTTTAGAAGAAGCAACGTTAAAATGTCCCGTAGTTTTCGACCATATTAAACTCCTTTATCATAAAATATGCACAGAATCAGTTACTTATTGTGAATGGCAGACTAAATACATCACGTTATTTTCCTCGAGGTTTTACACTTGATAAAAGATGAAGTCTCGCTGGTTAAAGATAACACAAAACCCTTACGTATGAAAAGTATAACTACGCACAAGACTTGTCATGCTTCATTTAATTGCAAAAATGTAAGTTACGTGAATGTAAGTCTTACTGATTTATAAGAGTAACACAGGTATCAAAAAACATTTGTATGCGAGTATATTTATATGTTATACTAACAAGGCCTAGGCCTACATTCAAACTACTCACCCTCAACTTGGACGGATAAATATATCACAAAAAAAGCCAGTGTCCGAAGGAAAAACAACGCGGACACACTCTTCTTTGGAGCCGCCATCTTGTTGCAAAATGTTCTTACACAACGTGGTTGCCGAGCTCCTCGAGTAGCGCGGTTACAAAGTCAGCTGTGTGCGCCTGTCGAAAACTGCATGTGGAGGTAGAGAACAGATTTTGTAAAGAAAGAAATCTATTTTGAACGTTTATCTCTTGCCCTTTTTAACTTAAAAAGGTTATGGTTCGATATAAGAAAAGGTTAGTCATTTAGATATGCTTAAACCACTTAAAGCTTACATTGCAATTTCGTTGAGATGATGGGAAAATACAAATTATGCAGTTTAATGTTGTAAGCTCTTAATTCAAAGTTTTTATTTCGACACTTTAATTTCTTGTGTAGGTATTTGCTGGTGGAAATTTCATTTGAGGACAACAAGATTGATGAAACTATGTCAAGTCCATGTATCTATGAACACGTCAAGAACGCTGTACAAGAGGCCCATGGGGACTATGGAAGGGCTTGTCTTGCCCGATCTTTTAGAGGTACACTTTCAATTTATTTGCTTAAGTGAGCAAAGTCAGTTAAGGAGCATAAAACTATCTGTGCTTAGCCTTTTAAAAAAGGTACCTTTCTCCACCTCCCCTCTTCCACACTCAGGTGTTTTCTTTAAGAGGTCTTCTTTTTGCAGCTCCTTCTCTACTTTGATTGGTTTTATTGTTTTCAATTTTAGTTAAGTATGTAAACCCAGTTACTGGGGTGGCCTTTATTGGTTGCGGTAGAGATAACTACAGGATGCTTTGGTCATCAATCACCTTTATCAAGAAGATACAGAATAAGCGATGCATGTGCCGAGTGCTTCATGTAGGAGGTAAACCTTGTTACATGTATAGTAAAATAATTTTATGGTCACATGGTTGTTGTGCTTTGTGTTTAAAAAGCCATACAGAACAAATCCCCAGTCTTCTGCATAGATTACCCAATTTCCTGGATATTATATAGCCACACTGACAAAAAACCTCTCTAACTTTTTGAGAGAAGTATTGTTAGGTTAAATATCTTTGTATGTTGTGTGCTGTTTGTTGTTGTTGTTGGGGGTGATGGAAATTTTTGCCATAAAGGATAAAATTTTAGATCCTCAAGGGCTGGTACCTTGAAAAGACTATTTTATATAATATATCCTTGTAACTCACATTCTATTCCTTTTTAGGGACACTTCGGTCATGTCAGAAATTCGTCATTCGTCACAATAAAGAGCAATTACTGCAGTTACTAGAGCAGTGTAAAACTCCAGGTATGTTTAGGAGTTGTTAGTGCAAACTTTACCGGAATTTACATGTAATTATCGTTTGTATAACAGCAGAAATAAAATTGCGGCCAAGAAGACTGCAGTATAACAGTGACTGGCATCTAAATCTCCTCATTTAATGACTGTTTATTAAACCACAATGTCCCAAAAATAAAGAAGACAATCACCTACTCTGAAATATCTGAGTCAAACATCTACTTTACCAAAAAGATCCATCATGCAATATTGAGCATTTTAGACCAACAAGGAGGTGAATGCACAATAAGGATGAAACAAATCCAAGAAGAAAGCAACAGATTATTCATATCAATCCTACAGTACAGTGTAGAGATAAGCAGCCAAAACACTCTTGAAAAGCACAAGCTCACTTTTTGCCTTAATGCAACTGTGTTAATGTATTTAAAGCATGTCATTAAAACTACAGTAGCTTTTGCTCTAATTTTATTCACCAGTTAAACATTCCCTTGTCCCCCTTTGTTTTCCCAAACGAAAGATAAAAAATAAGAAATGTCCCCAAACTACCAATATGCATGAATAGCATTTGAATATGCTATTTCTAGTTATGGACTGACAACTTACCTTATTAAGGTGGCTAGACCAAATATTTTAATAGGCACACCCTCCATACTTGAATCTCTTATACTCTATATAGTAAGTGATCTTTAATGTAAAATCATTATGACACATGGATTACACTAAGACTAAACTTTATCATGATATTATTTTTTGGGCAATCAGAATAAAATGTTGTGTGACAATTTTCTATCAATTATTGTACTGTACATGTTTTCAAAAACTCCATTGACGAATTTTGTTTTAATCGCTGTTTTCATGAAAGTAGCCTTAGATGTTACAAAAAGAGCTCAGCATTGTGTTTTCCCCCTGATTTATATGTTTTCATGAGTTTCGGAATCGTGCAAGTGTACTTGCATTCAGCAGCATGTAGAGTGTATAATTCATTCATTTGCAAAATGAATGAGGATAAAACCTTTTTTGGAAACATCCAAAAAGTTTAAGGATAAGAGATTCAAAGATGGAGATGGTGCCCATTAAAATACTGGGTCGAGCCACCTTAAATCATAGACCAACCTTTCAGGTACTCAAGGATTCTTTTTCTCCGTTTGTTTTTTTCTTTAGGTGAACAAAGGAAAGTTGCAAAAGCAATTGATAAGGCTGAGAAATATGAAATGTCCTTGGACCCAATTGAAGTCATGAAAAGAAAAGCAAGTGCAAAGAAAAGTTATAGCAAGCCTTCTTTAGAAGAATTTGACACTGACTGAAGAAAGGCGCCATAAAAGTAAAATTCATCATAGATAAAGAAGAAGAAGGTAACATCTAAAATGATATCCTGCTAAAACTGTTAGGAGGAAATAATAAGCCAGCTCCACACCCATCATAGTGAAAGCTTATTTGGTTGCAATACTGCATTCCTTAGTTTGGTTAGCGACCATTGCAATGTTGATGATACACAGTTCCAAGGAAAAAACAGCAAGGATGTACATATCACCCCCTTTAACAGACATTTGTTACAGTTTCATGTGTTGAAGTATCAATGGAGCACAAGAGAAAACTTGCTAAGCTCGAAATCTTTATTATGTATGAGATAAATGTCCTCAACAATATCCAAGGCCTTGTCTGCAATAAAAAGAGAGGGAATGTCTAATGTTTTCCAAATGTTTCAAGAATCATTGCAGAAGAAAACAGTTGGCTGGACACTGTTTACTGAATTAACATTCTGCAAAAGTTTTGGATAATTTAATTTGCCTACCATGTTAAAGTAGGAGGTACCCTGAAGGATTCCCCTTCTATTTAACATTCCAGTTGACGCTGTACAAACTTATAACATACCTAACATAACGTGATGAGAAGTACAACACCACTGGATTTTTTTACATGTATTTTAATTTTTCAAAGTTCGTCTCAACATATAAGTGGCCTCTAAAATAATAAAGTTGTACGTCTTATTATCTGTATAAAAGATCTTGGTTTACAATGGATATAATCTAGTTATTATTCAAGTCTTTCATCTCCTCCAAATTATGTCCTTTGAACAAATGATTTCAAAGTTGCTCGTTCGTATGTATTATCCTGAGAAAATTCTTCAATAATTCTTTAGACGCGTGTATCTAAGAAGCAAACGTTGAGGAGAAAAGCCCCAGTGGTACTCAACAAAGTTTTATACCGAGAGGCTACGCTCCGAGGTCCAACTCCTTATTCTCTTATATACCATTTTTGACAGAAAGGCACCCCTTTAATATACCTTCTATTGAAACATAGTACCCTTTCACATACCTAGTTGAGAACTTTGAATCGCTTTTAACTGCTGTAAATAAATAAATCACAAAACCAGAACGTTTCTTCGCCTTTTTTAAGTTTATCATTAGCCCTATCCTTCCGTATACTTCAACTTGTAAAATCCCTGCCAGGTACCCCTTGCGAGCATAGCCTCCCGTATAGGCCATTAAAGGAAGTACTCCTCCTCCCCCGGGAAAAGATCCTGCTGGCAACTTTGAAAACAAGGCTACATTCAAAACAGGTCGTGAAAGAAAAGAACGTACTTGTTCTTCTCGCGCGATTTTTTTTTCCAAAGTTGAATGATTAGCACGCGTAACACGCAACAGGGAGGCGCTAGAGACCCCAGACGCGCGAGATCTTTCTCTCTATCTCTCGCGTATCGCCCAAAGGGCACAGTCTAAGCTTCCTATGGTGTCAATATTCCCCTTCGACCCGATATCATCTCACAAAACAAAACTCAATACTCAGATCAGTTTGGCGAAACACGTTATACTTTATTGTCACACTCATTCAAGTAAGAAAACGTTAATTGAAACAACGAAATTTTTATTTGGTGGTAAAAAGGTAAAGAATAGATAAATCAGTCTTTAACTTACAAGTACAGTTCGAATACGAGAAAAAACTTATACAAACAGAGCTGAGCAGCCGCTACAAAACAAGGTTGGCGACTGGAACTGAGGCCAGAAAAAACCTGCCGAAAAAACCCATTGGGAAAAAACATGGCAGGAAATCTGGGTAGGAACCATGGCTCAAGCTCCAAATGATTAATAGCCCATCCTACGAGGCTTTATAAAGAAAAACAACCGAATAAGAATGACTAAGGGCGCTTTCCAAAAGTCAGAACTGGCCGGCCAGACCATGGCTGGAGCAGCATTTTGACATGAAATAGGCTTTTCCCAACAGTTTTTGCTGAAAAACCATCTCCTTCGTGCATAGTATTTAGGATTTGACGGATCTGGTTGGATAGTTTTGATTAGAAGTAAAATTCTCATTACTACGGGAATGGTCTGGCCGGTCAGTTCTGACAAATGGAAAGCGCCCTAACATTAGGGCGGAGCTGGTTCGCTTTGCCGTGATGAATCATCTGGAAATCCCGGTATTACGCTATCTTGTTACCGGGTTGTTAGGTAATCATAAATTTGATTTTTGTTGAGTCTTGTTAACGTGCAAAGCGAATCAGCTCGGCTCGTGTAGTCAGGCCCTTAGAAAGGGAAAAGAAAGAAAAAAATACGTAATAAGACTATTTAAAATTGATGTACTATTGGTTGGTAGTTTTGCTGTCACACAACTCTTTTAACTTTATGCAAGAAACTTTTGTTCCAAGTCTGTTTGCCAAGTATTTTTTCTGAGTGAAACCATCCAGCCGCGCCTCTCAAAGGCGGCCCCCTCTGAATGTTTCCACTAATGATTCTTTTACAATGCAAACAAAGAGACGATTTGGGACATAACTAACTTTTTTTACAAAAAAAGACAAAAGTGGGTTGGCTGCCCGATGTAAACCAAGTCTTCGTTTTTGTCTCATAATAATAACGCTAAGTAATCTATAAAGGTGTTCCATCTTACATGCCAGCCAACACTTGGAGTTTCAATATTCCTCATGCATTAGAAGCAAGGTTACTGCTGGCTACGTTTTTGTTAGGTTAGGTGATCAAGCATTGCAAGCATAAATGAAGAAGAATTCAGACACTCCAAGTAAATCACCCTGGCTGTAGCAATCCTTGTCAATCTTCTCGAGCTTACTGTAAACCGTAACGCATGCGCCGGTGAAGGTATGATCTGCTTAGGCTTTACTGCTCTTTTCACAAACATGCGAACTCTAAAGTTCAAAAGCCGCCTTCACAATTGCGTTTTTCGCTGCCGTCAATCATAATTACAATCAACAATCAACGAACCTGGAAAGACAGAAACACACAAAACGGATCGAAATCCACCAATCACAAATCACAAACCTTGACCTTTTGAACCCGTTTAAGTAAAGTTTTGTTTCCTAGGAGGTCCGTTAAGATGATTGACGACAGCGAAAAACGCAATCTTCAGTTGGCTTTTGAACTTCAGAATTCGCATGTTTGTGAAAAGCGCAGTAACTCTTAAATCATGGTGCATTCGAGAAAACACTTAAAATCGTCAGAAATGCGCTTTAGAACTTGATAAGACGAATACTTTGTTTATAAAAAGTCTCCTAAATAGTACAATCCTTTTAAACTGTGGAGAATTAAAAATTTAAAATCACCAAGCTGACCGAGTTCCTGCAAAAATAACCCACCATAAATATATTTTAAGACCTGTGGAATCTCTGAAAGCAATAGGCCAGTCTTTGCATTCAGTTGCTATACGCACTGTTCATAGGTAATAGTAAAGCCATAGCACGAAAACGGTCATATATCGCAATAATACGAAACTACCGGACTACGTAATCAGCCATAAATGGCAGTTGAGTGAGGTTACAAAAAAAGTTATACTAATTATCTAATTTGAATTTCTTGAAAGCATATTGAAGGCCTTAGCTCAAGAAAAGAGAGATTCAGTCAACTTTGAGGTTGGATCAGGGTGCATCAAACCATGATCTCTAGCGAGGGTGAAAAATTATCAAAAGGTGGCCCAGGAGGGGAGAGACGAAGTTAGGGCTGGTATGGCTTTATAGAGATGACACTTCGTATCGCTCTGATTACGGTTCTCTTATTTATAGCGGCTTTAATTGAAGGGGTAGAGCAGAAAGGTCCTTTATATATATATGGCTTATAAAAGGATCTTTTTGCACTTTTTCCTTCAATTGTACGAGTTATTATGTAAAGTTTTTTAGCTTGCACTTTAAATTGAAATCTGGACGATTCGCAGTATAAAAAAACTAAAAGTCAGTGTCATCTCTACTATCTTATTTATATTATGGGCACGGGTGGGGTTTTCAATGACCTCATGAATCAAAATTGGAAAATCAAAGTTGGGTTTCAGGTTGCAATATGACCTCATGTTTATGTAAGGTTTGGTGATGCTGTATCAATATTTCCTTGAGCAATAGCCAGTTCCGTACTTCAAAGAATTTTCGACAGCAAGCCAATGAGGGCCTTTTCCTTCGAAGTACGATCTCAAATTTGATCTTCCAGCCAATTGTGCATGATCGCTCCCGTGCTATGTAAATTTCAGGCCCAATAACTCGATAAAAAGATGTTTGCTAGGATAACTGAAGTAGTTGATCTCGTAGATGCTGTAGCATGGACGAAAGGTGCCATTGCTTTTGCAGAGATTTCACATGTTAACAGATAGCTTTATTTTAACTATTATTATTATTATAAAAATTCTTTATTATCCATTAAAAGCGAGCACACAGCATGAAGGTAGCGACCAAAGTCCTTCACGACCGTAGCCGACACGTAGCGTTTACTATTTCCTTTCCGAGTTTATGTCCTACTGAAGCAAAGTAAATTAAATAGGAGACGTTTGTATGCAGGCTATCTTGGCTTAGTGCCACCATATAAAATGCAAGTAACAGAAATAAAGAGTTTCGGGTAGATCCTATAGCTTTTATACTGTGATCTCGCGATATTGAGGTTGTTTCAGTTAATCTTCAGTCAATCCTATAGTTTCTTCTGACTGAGTAGCATATTCTACTCATACATTAAATTAATTAACGTCTACATTTTAAAGTTCATTTTTCTTTCGTTGATTAGATGGCTAGCCATTGCTTTCCTAAGAGCCTCAGTTGTCCTTATCCAAGTGGCGGAACAGCCGGCGGATCCTTGGGGCGGATCCTTGGTGCTGACCAAGAGAATTGCAGCCTCTAAGAACGAGATCAGAGAAAAACGAAATGTGATAAAGTTATTTCGTGTAAAAACGCCATCGTTTTCCGTACTTCGATACTCCCTGTACATGTACATTAGAGGCGCTTGCCATTTACACAAACCGGTCGAAATTCTTGTGGATAAAAATTTAACAACTGGAGCGCTTACCATCTGTATAGAAAACCCGGTAATTCCGGGGGAGAATTCAA